ATCTCCTGCAAGGATGTATACATGATGTCAACAATGCTACAATCACCTCATCTTATCTATGTGGGAGATTTCACGTGTTGTGATTGACAAAGGAAGTGAGGTTATGAAATATCAGTACCCCCAAAGAACTTCATGATTTGAAGATTCTTTCTGAACATAGGCGATGATATAGCTGGAGAGGTAAATGATTGTTGTGTCTGTTAAAATATAAAATGAAATTCTTATCAAGCATTCGATCATGAGACCCTAATATAATAGAAACCATTTATCTAGAGTATGTCAACTTAAAGCTATGAATCCTTACATTTACCGCTACATTAAGAGTAATCGCTCATGGTGTAGCACACCCCTCCCCATTATAGATCAGGCAAAACGATATGGTCGATTGCACTGGCAGATTGGCAGAACTGTTGGCACTGCATCCACGTAGCCCAACATTCCCCCAGCACCTGCCAGCCTACAACTGAGCAACAAGAAATCATGACCTTTGCCTCTGATACCACTTGTGGATCGTTGTGCTTACGGCTACACTAAAAGCAATTGATGATATTGTAGCACACTCTTCCCTCTTTATAGAACAAGCAAAGAGCCATGGTCAATTGCACTGACAGGTGACAGGCTAGCAGAATTGCTGGCACCGCATTCCCACGGCCCAACAAAAACAAAGAGAAAAATATATGAATAAAAAACTGAAATGATCATCTTCATCTTTCTTTTTTGAAAGATGACATCAACCTTGTTTATTCCATTATTAATCCTTGTTTATTCCATTATTAATATTATTATTATTATCAGTTTTTATTATTAATAATTATTTAAAAGGAAAGTTAACTTGATGGAGATGTATCTCTTGATGGAGATGTATCTCATAGAATCAGAATAAGGTGAATGAAACAGAAGTGTTAGGTTTTATATGTGATTGATGCGTGCCGACTAGAATAAATGGTAATATTATCCAACAACAATTAGGTCTGCATTACCGTGGACGTAGGGTATTTGGCTCTGAAACAATGTCACATTCAAAAGATGAGTGCGACACAAATGCACATATTGCGTTATATGTGTGAACATACAAGAAAAGACCGCTTCAGAAATGAGATAATAAGATAAGAGTAGCACCTAGGGGTGGGCACGGTCCGGGACAGTCCGGGATTTGGCTTATCCCGATCCCGTCCCGGTTTTATAACAACGGTCCGGTTCGGTACGGGATAAGTCTTTATCCCAATGTTATCCCATTTAAAACGGGACCGGGACAACCCGAGAAAAACCGGGACGGTTCGGGATGTCCCATAAAATATGCATTTGTGAAATGTGATATAAAAATAAGCATAACATCAATATAAATATGTAATTTTTTTTGCAAATTTAGCGTCCCCAAAAAGTTAAGTAAAACATTTAATTAACTATTTTTAATTTTGTCTTGTAATTTTTTTTTGGTCCCCCTAATATTGTGTTTCCTCTAGTAGAATAGTAGCGCAAAATATTTTTATACTTTGTAGTACACTTGTAATTTTTCAATACTACATTAAATTAAATATCATATCTATAAAGACACTAAATATATATTCTAGTAGTTATTTTGGAAAATACTATTCCATCATAAATACTATTCCGCACGAAATAATATATTATGGATTAGTATTGGAATGAGAAGTAAACAAATTTTAATCAAAAGAAACAAAAGAAATGAGACTACGAGAGACATGAATTAAGATAAAATTACACTAGGGAGACTAAGAACTAGAAAGTTTTAATTGGGTTTGACTATTACATAGCATTAGAAATTTAAAATAACATGTTAATTTCAAACGGGACATGATTTTCATAGTTATCCAGGTCCCGTCCCGTTTAATATTTGTGCGGGACCGGTTCAGGATGAAAAAATTGCGTCCTAAATGGATCGGGATAGTTTCGGAACGGTATCTGGATTTTTCGGTTTGGGACACCGGGACCGGGATTTTTGCCCACCCCTAGTAGCACACTAGCACCCATAGATGCATGATTCTCGATTGCGGTGTTTTGATCATGTACAAAGAAGACCGAGTTATGCATTTACTACACGAGTTGAGAGGCAGGGAGAAGAGTTCGTATACCGTGGTATCGCCCCACGGTGAGCACCGTGCTCCCACACCCAAAACGACGTAGTTTTGCACAATTTTTTTAAAAAAATCACATGAACAGTAACGCGTGAACAGTACACGCGTGTACAGTAACTCTGTTTTTTGTCCCAGTAGTATGAATGATGTAACTCGCGTGTAAAGATATGTAACTCACGTTATTGAGCAATGTAACTCAAGTCCATTCGAAATGTAACTTATCAAATACATACTATAAGAAATAAAACATTGATTTCAATGCAGACAATGAAAAAAAGAGTCTAACTACACAATTACTTTACGTAAATCGTGAATATGTTTTGTTTTTATATCATGACCATCACAGGGATTTAAAAAAAATCATTTTTTGTTTCAATAGCAGTTTTTTTATGTAACTCATGTTTTTACAAATGTAACTCGCGGTTAATGACAAATGTAACTTGCGCTTCAGAAGATGTAACTCGCTTATAAAATAATGTAACTCAAGCATAAAAATATGTAACTTGCGCATGAGAAGGTGTAACTCAAATATAACTTCAGGAATCATGTATATATGTAACTCACATATATGAAAATGTAAATCACGTACATGAAAATTTAATCACCTGTTTTATCATATGTAAATAGAAATTAACAAACTCTATGTCTTAAAAAACACTAAAAACCTATAAAAGAGATAAAAAAAATTCAGAAATATATTATATAAAAAAGTAATTGTAATCATATTTTTAATATTTTAATAAAGGAGATAAATAAAATTGAAAAAGAAAAGAAGTAAAAAGAAGAAGAAAGAGAATTGGATCAGAAAGCAGGCAAGAGAAAAGAAAGTGGAAGCAGGGAAGGAAAAGTTAGTGGAAGCATGGGCATGGTGCAGAAGAATAAAAAATCGGGAAGAAGCCTTGCGTGTGAACGGTCGGTGCTTGAGAAAAAAAAGCAGGGTGATTTCAATTAGAGAAACGCTGCGTAATGGCATGGGCACACCATGCGCATTGTGTGTCGATCCCACAGTATAATTTGCGCAGGGAGAAGAGGCCGGCAGGAGGAGAGGAAGACCAAACCGACGTGAATTAGAAGAGTCTGAAGTGATGTGTTTCTTCTCTGATTGGATGAAAGTATGTGTTCGCAAGAGCAATGTGGAGTGTGATTTGTGAACATTCAGTCGGAGGATTGATCTCTTTTTACCTTTTGAAGATTTGATGAGAGCAAAGGGTGGGTCATTCTCACTATATGAGAGGTTTTCACAGTTCACCACTTTGATGTACATATCCTAGTATTCCAAGAACCCACGAACATATGAGAGGTCAAACCATGAGTTGTTCAACTTGTCCTTTATGTTCTGAGTATTGTTTATGTACTTCTACACACAATGAGCCGCTTGTTATTGGTTATTAATTGTGTGCCTGAAGTTTTCAACACGCCAACTATCTATAAGGTGACTCGAGTTCAAGACTCATCTCAGAAGTGGACTTGTGAATCACAGGGATCATTGACCATTTTAATTGGGACAAAACAATAATCTACAATGGCCCAACCCAAACACACTTTTGATACCCTTCACCATGAGACCGGACCAGAAACGAGACAAGTGTCAAAATGGTACTCAGTTTGTCTCAAGTAGCATAAATAAGGGGTACATAGTACATTACACCAAATACTCTAAAGTACATCAAATTGGTTTTTCAGTGTAAAATTGAGTGTGTCGCTATTACAAACGTTAAAGAATAATGAGCTGGCTACAGAGGGTGAACAATTTTATTATACGTTGACATGATAAAAAAAATGTGCGGAAGTACAAAAACGGATAATTGAATTAATTAAACAAATACTCTTCAATTATGCTCATATTCCATTCTTTCATCTTATCATTGATGCTTCCATTTTCAAATCACATTTTCCAACCTCCAAATTAATTCTCCACCATTTAGAACTAAGAAACAGACATCTAAAAACCAAAACTGAAAAATCATAGCAATCCAAATATCCAACGATTCAAACTCGGACAAAGGACGAATTTGTAAAACTGCACAGATTAGGAGGTAGTACTAGTGTACTACTTACTCCCCAGGAGACAATTTGATGTACCAAATTGAACTTTTACTCGACCAAACACAATAAGAAAATAATATGAAGAAAAGGTAAGGTCGTTTATACATATCACCTTTACCTCCAATAAATTGTAAAGTTAATACTCCGTATATGACATGTTTTGTATGTGCACTCACATGGCAAATATCTCTAAAGGTGGACCTAGTTCCTGAATCATACTGGGCAGGCGAATCACCGAGGCTAATCGGGGCAGGAAAAGAATCCAAAACAACCCAATCCAAATACAGTTCTGATTCCTTCAAAAATGAGACCGGACTACTTCAAGTCCTAATTTTTTAAATTAAAAAATAAAGTGAAAACTACACCAAAACTAGTATTGAAAACTAGAATAAGCTTTATGCCAAAACCATACTAGAAATTCTAGTTCAGATAACAACTTAACGAGTGACCAGCTTTGGGGACGAGTGACCAGATTTGGGGACCGGCGTTCCAACACAGGACCAGGGCAGCCAGATCAGCCCAAGCCCATCCCTATCAATTAGAACAAAAAACTCATCCTAGCAAACTAGTTGTACCCGTTAATATAGAAGTTTGCTGTACAAAAAGCATGCAGAATTAGCACCCTAAGTGAGAAAAGTGTAAACTCATGCTTCAGAATTAGCACAACATGCAAAATAAGAAAATAAAAAGTTTAATTGAGATTGTTTTAGGAAAAACAAAGAATTAATATCCACAATACGCCTCTTTACTTGAAAGGAAATAGGAAGAACTTTTTGTGATGGATAAAAGGAAGTAGTAAGAGCATTGGGAGACAAGGGAGTCAATGGTAAGAAAAAAAATGATGAAACCACTGCAAACCTTTTAAATTATATTAGACGCACTGGAGAAAAGGGAACCCATCCACTTATGAAGATGCATAATTTACAAACCCAATCAGTCTGAGAATCAACATGAGATATAATCCTGACAAATTAACCAGTAATCCAGTACACATAACCTAATCACAATCATACCCACCCAAACCAGCAAAGTGAATTTCTGAAACACGACGAGCCAACAAACAATTTCTTGTCATTGATAACGAATAATAGTGCAAACCTTGCGTGTTTACTTTTAAACTGCCTTGCTTCCAGCATATGAAACTGCCCATTTTCTGTATAATAAATGAAGAGCTGAATTTCAGAGCAGTAGAGCAGCATTATATCTTATCTAGTTTTTCAGCCTTGACAACAGGATTTGCCTTGGATATGGCTTCCTGTGCAGCAGAGTGGTAGTCGAAGGGGCAGTCATGTTTATCCGAGTAGCGGTGAGAGCCACAGAAGAGGTCACCGCACCGGCATTTGAATCCAGTCAACCCGACCCGCTTATTGCAAGTGGTGCACCTGTTGGGCCCCTTCTTGGGTTTAATAAGCTCCACAGCATCCCCGGAGCTTGAAGCTTGGGATGATGGCAAAGACACAACATTTACTTCTGCTGAAAGAGTCTTGACATCCACAGAACCAATGGCAACAGGTGGTGGTGCTGTCACACTGCTGCTCGATCCATTAACAAGATTCTCGAATGAGGAGACAGCAAGCTTTGCTTGCTCTTCTTTTAACATCATGTCCTTGTAGCACTTCGAGCACATGTTCATGTTCGCTGCACTTCCAAAGAATCCACAGTTGTTGACACACAAAATAGGGCCTTCTGGATGGGATTGGCATCCTGTCTCATCGTGCTCCATCTCTCAATTATTCTGCAACAATATTCCTGATACATCCATTTTAAAAGAGTATTATAATATTTCTGATTCTGAAGCAGAATGGCAATACCAAAGAAAGGGATTTGATCACTACACAACACAAAGGGAATTTGCTTAATGTAAGTTCAGAAAGTACTTTCATCATATTGTTTCTTATCAATGATTGCATCCACCACATCTGGAAAGCTATCAGATATCTCTGATAGCAATAAAGAGCAATGTAAGGTGCTATCAACTAATCCAAAACTACAATGGGTTGCTGAATGGAGAGAAAAGTAATCTACCAATCTTCTTTTGTCCCCATTCAGCCAAATTTCAAATCCACAGTCATTAACCGATCACACATGAACAATTTGCAAAAACAAGGTTAAAACCAAATCAGATATTGTGAGTCATGAGAACCAATTACCATAGGTAAAACTGAACAAGACATGCTCTAAATACCCATACTGGTCATCAAAAAGTAAACACCCTACATAATGTTTCACATACGGTATACTTCTTGTACAAGAAAAGAACCATTCAACTCTACAGAAAAGACATGTTTAATTCATATAGTCGAACTACCTCCACTCATCTCTGAGCACAACCACAACAGGAGCAGAAAAAGTGACTACTTATGAGTTCACTACTCATACTTTCATAAAGCCTCGTGATTCTCAGTGTGCATGACCACCTTTTTAATAAGCAATTTCACATTAATTAATTGAGGCGCAAACAAAGTAAACTCCAATTGCAATCCGCAACTGGAAAAATGCAATCTTTGTTGAGCATCAGCCTTCAATAAAAGAATAAACGTCCAAGCCCTTTTTAACTTTGCATCTTTACCTGATTGTACTAAAATACATGCCTGTCCTTTTCCTTACAGATCAAGAGAAACTATTCATGATGAACAGACTTATCCAAAAAAATTGTAAACTTTAACACAAATTAAGCAAAAACCTTCATCAAAGGGAAAACATATGAATTTAAAAGAGGAGGCTACATGGTCGATCACCGATGAGATAACGAAACATTAATCAGACAATCTTGAGTGAAAAAACACCTAAAATTAAAGAATATATACAGAAATTTCAGCCGATCGAAACAGATCTGCATACGCATGAAATAAAATTGATTGCAATACAAAACAAAGAGATCGATGGATAGATATCGAAAAACTGACCAGAAAAAGGATTGATAGATCGCTAAGAGAGTTCCGTCACGCGAATGAATTATATAAATAAAAGATTGAAAAGAGAGACGGAGAGCGAGAGTTTGTCTTCCAGTTGGATCCACCTTGCATTATACATTTTCAATAAATAGGAAACATAGATAAAAACAAGATTGTTAAAATGAGTTTTTTCTCGGAATAATGCTAATTAAATAAATAATTCCCAAAATACTGCCGGGTTAAGAATAATTCCCGAAATACTGCTGGGGTTAACCACGGTTAAGGAAAGCCGCCACTTGGAGTGGCGGCTTTTGTACAGCTTCACAAAAGCCGCCACTCCAAGTGGCGGCTCTTCTACTTCTCTATGAAAGCCGCCACTCCAAGTGGCGGCTCTTGTGTTAACGAACCTGCTGCAACATCATTCAGACAACTAAACCTGTAATTACCAGAAAAACAGCTCATCACAAAATCACAGTCCATTCCATTCAAAAAAACAACCAAACATATGATTTACTAAGACAAAATACACCCGAAACATAAAACGAATCAATGAAACTGCATGACAACATACATCCAAAATACAAAACGAATCAATGAAACTACATATTATGAAACTTTCACAAAACGAATCAATGCACCACAAAAATTGAGTATAAACCATAAAGTTATAATAAATCTGGTGTTTCACAAAATGATTCGATCTGCCAGTGCATGCTACAACTTTCACACAATAATTTAAATACAAACATCATAAGTCAATGTGATCATCATCATCATGAAGTTCATGTGGCTGTGCTCGGGGACGCCTGCGCTGGTTACGAGGCTGAAGAACAACTCTATCACGTCGGACTGCCTGAGAAGACCCTGCTGCGGATGTAGATGCGGTGGAATGCTGAGAGGTGGCCATATATCCATAATCCACTCGACCCAATACATCAGCGCACAGTGAAACAATGCCTGAACAAGCGTCATGGTATCCCTGTACATCTACCGCCTCATCAAGTATAGCAGTCGCTCTGTCATGGATGCTACGCAAAGCCCGTGTCTGTAATGCAAACATGGTTATTAGTGAAAAACACATGAATAAATAAATAAAGATATTTCATTGACTATATTGTTTACCGTCATATGAAGAGCGACTGAGCTAGGCTGGTAATGATCAGTGGGTAAACGAAAACTGGGAGAGATAAACACCCGTGTGATGGTGCAATACCATCTCATGTAGTCTACAGAAGCTGTGGGGACTAATGATGGGATCCCGTCCACTATATACGCCGCTCTCTCATCCCACATAGTGATATACTGAATATGGCGCATCCCCCAATCTTCAGTGTGCTTCCCCCGTCTATCAATCTTGTGCAAATCCACAGATGTATCACAAGGTCTGGGAGTAATCTGCTGCAACCCGAACTGGCGTAGTACGCGATCAGGAAAGTGATGCTCCACTACATCAAAACATATCAAGGGCACACGTGCTCACCATATCTCAGTGTGCTCTCGGGCAACAGGAGGCAACAACCCTAAAATCTCATCAGTGTACGGCATCCACGTCATCTATAATATAAAATTATGTTAGACCATGGTTTATAAAAACATAAAACAAAGTACTTACATTTAATGATATAAATGATATACCTGATCATCACACAAGCGATCTAAAGCATCTCGGTAGTATCCTAATCCAGCAGCGGATGACGTGCGCGTGACATGAGCAAATAGCCATCTGACACACAGTAATGTATATGAATATAAAAGGGATTCACGTATGTCATACAAAAAAAAATCATAAACATACCTACGACCCAAAGGATCCTCGCCACGAACATGATGTGGCCCAAGTACAGCGTGCTGATCCATATCATCATCAAGAGGACCACCATCTATCCCATGATATCGCAGTATGACAGGTCTGCCGATATGAATGTGCTCCCATGACCATAGCTGTATCAACAATAAAAACCCACCCATCTCTCCACCGTCACGATGGCATCCTCGACATAACTGCCGATATAGGTATGCTAAAGTCGCACTACCCCAGCTATAAACTGCAGCTACATCAAAAGACTCCAGAATGGGTAAATACAAGACCTGCACCTCATTCCCGCTCTTGTCCGCAAACGTGGAAGCTCCCATAAGCATCAGAATGTAGGCTCTCGCGTACTGCTGCACAACATCGTCATCAGCATCAGCAGGTAAACCAACAAAATGCTCTCTCAACCAAGCCATCCTCAAGGCGGACCCCCGAATATCTGTCCCAGGGTGTGGCCGTACTCCCAACAATCTGTGTACCAAATCAACACACAGTCTACATGCAGTCCCAGTAACTGCCCGACCCTCGATCGGTAGACCTGCCAATACAGCCACATCTCCTAATGTGATCGTGACCTCACCCACTGGTAAATGGAACGTGTGAGTCTCCTGCCTCCAATGCTCAAGTAGAGCGGTAAGTAATGCTCTATCTATATGCAGAGTCGAAACTAATCTGTGAACACCATAAAACCCAGCTAATCGAACGTAATGTAGAATCCTATCGTCCACCCCCATGTGGAATATACTGCGTAGGTGCTCACGACACCTATCTACCTGAACATCCAGGCCACGCCACACATCCTCGCTCCGGTGCGTGGCCTGCAATGTCAGGACTGAAGGATCAATCGGTCCGGGATCCACTGACACCTGCATCGGCGCTGTAAAAGTAATAAGTGTATTAGTTATTTTATTTTATTATTAAATTAAATTTATTTATTTTTTAATATTGCTAATGCATTTGTGAATAAAAGAACAACATTACCCAGTGGAACTCCCTACGTGTCCTTCCGATCTTCTAGCACATGTCGTCCTGTTATGCCCTGTTTGCTTGCATTTACTGCATCTCACAGTACCTGTAGGGCCTTCATCCATTTCATTTCTCAATCGTTTAGCCTTCGGACGACCTTTAGCGCGAATCATCGAAGGGTCATGCACAACTCGTGGGCCAGTGTAAGTAGGTCGATACGCTATATCTGGTATGGGCTTAAATGCTCTTTTATAGGAAACAGCATACTCCGATGATGAAAAAAATATATCTACAAATGGATCACAGGACAAACTACGGTCTCTGCATACCGCTAATATATGTGAGCAAGGAATCTTATAAATATTCAGCTTCTGACATGTGCAATGGCGACGGTGCAAATTCACCTTTTGTTTTTTACCACCCTTCCCCACGGTTCGACCACCACGACCCGTCTCCACTTGGTATAAACCATGGCCTATGTCAAATATTGTGACCTTGTGATGCTTTGCTTTTTCCGTATTTTTCTCAATCAGTTCGGTCACTTGCTGGCAGTAGCGATGCCCTTCTGCTAATCTTCTCTTACTAGTTTCTCTTCTTTCCACAAAATAGGCATTCACACGATAGAATGATAACTCAACTAAGGCGGTTACAGGCAGGTACCGTGCACTTTTCATGACGCTATTGAAAACTTCAGCCATGTTCGTTGTTGAGGTGCCATACCTGTATCCCCCGTCGTGGTGTAAAGACCATTTCTCCAAGCCAATGTTCGCTAGATATTCTCGTGCCTGCGCATGCATTTCGCCTATCTTGTTAAATCCACCATCAAATTTCTTCTTTTGACGTTGACTGGCTGTCCAAACGAACAGATTCTTCAAGTGAATGTCTTTAAATTGAGTATGCAGATTAGAAGCGACATGCCGTATGCAAAGCCTATGTCGTGCATCTGGCTCCTCCCATCCACTCCCTACCTCATTAAATGCCTTCATGATTCCAGCATGTCGATCTGAAATAACACACAATTCTCTGCGTGTGATTGAATGACGTATGCACGCTGTTGGTCCCGTTTAATATGGTAATCAGTCTAGAGGGGGGGGGTGAATAGACTGATTGATTTTTCAACTTTTCTCTAAGTCCAAAGTGACTTATCAGAGAAGGTCTAAATCTGGTGACAGAGAAAGGCTGGTTCTGATATCAGAACTGGCCTTGGCAGCGGATTCTGATCTGTCCGGGTAGCCTCAGAAACACTAAGGCAAATGCCTTTCTGATAACTCTGAAAACAAGATCTGCTGAACACAGATTCCAAGTCTTAGAGTTAACAGTTAATATCCTAAGTGTAGAAATGTAAATTGCAGTAAAGTAAATGACACCGGATATTTTTATAGTGGTTCAAGGAACAACTCGTTCCTCTAGTCCACTGTTCCACTAGCTTTGAAGTAGATCGGTTACAAAGCTTAGTTCCTAGCACTCAAGAAGTTCTCCACGCCTTCTTCAAGCCTAGCTGCCACCCAGGATGCAGTTCCACGTCCTGATGGCTGGTCCTTTCACTCAGCTTCCCGGAAGTATCACCACTTCACTACTGCAGTTACTTGGACGCCCTTCTTTTCAGAAGATCCTTTGAAAAAACAGAGTTTTTCCTCCAACTTGCTTCGTTACAAATGATGTTTGATGAAGTTCTTGAAGAGTTGAAGAACAGGATGAACTTTGCTCGTTGTTGGGGATGAAAGATTTGGAGTTTGAATCTTCCCAACGTTGACTTTTCTTGTAGAGTGTTATGAAGGTTGAATCTCAAGAAGTATGTTCGGAAATGGATCAAGAGTTCTTGGCAAAGTTATTTTTCTGTTCTTCGGTGTGTAGCTTATATACTGATGTTGTCTGCCCGTTGGAGGAGGAGACAACTGCATTAAATGCGCGTACTGTTGACTTGACCGCAGTTTTGGAAGGTTTCTATTTTTATAATATATCTTCCCGGATTCTTTGGTCAATCATTTGCAATCAATCCTTCAGCGTATCAGGCTCATTTAATGTGCATTAAATGCTTTCCTTTCATGCACAGTCTTCTAGCCGTTGGATGTTTTACCCGTTGGATTCATAGCTGTTGGATGTTGCTTGAAATCTTCTAAGTGTTAGTCGGGCTCTGATCAGGCTCTTCTGATGTGTCGGATTCTGAAGGCTTTCTGAGTTCTGATGGCTTTCTGATGAGTTGAGTTCTGATGGCTTTCTGATCTCTGACTCTGATAGGTCCGCTGATGCGTACCTCTGATCTGTAACTCTCATTGGTTATCAGATGTCCAAATTTATCAGCAACTGTCGTGGTGCAACTCTGATGAACTTCTGATAAGAGAACTCTGATGGAGCAGTTCTCATAGATCAAGTCTGATCGAGCAGTTCTGATGCACTTCTGATCTAATCCAAAACAGAGCAACTCTGATCGTCGACTACACTAATACTTACAATTGAAAAGTCTAATACATAAAATCTAATTTGGGGGTAATCTAACTTTCTAATCCTATAGCATCATCAAAATCTAATTACATTTATTCCTTACAATTTCCCCCTTTTTTGATGATGCCAAAACCCTTAAACTATTTCCAGAGAAGTGCCTTTCACCATAAAGAAAATAAGTTAAAGATAAACTTTCATTTAAAGTCTTGGTGGGCACTTGGCATAGGAAAATAGCAAGAGTAAGATACAATCAATCATGCAATAATCAAATAAGGAATAACACAATTGGTATCAGAGCATAAATAATCAGAGTGTAAGTATTGCCATGCAAAATAGAGGTAAGCAGGTTTTCTTATTGAAAAAAATATTGAAAGCAACAAGAGAAAAGAGTTAGGAATCTTCCTCTTCTAGTTGAACTTCTGCATCGTCAATCTTCTTCAGAAGAGCATTTACCTTTGTTCTGATGGAGGCCAAATTCCTTGGATTCTGACATTCATTCCAATGAGGTTCAAGTTTGCAATCTAGGTAGTTTCTGATGGCTTCTGAGATGTCCTTGCCAGGGATCACTTTCAATCGCCACCAAGCCTCTGCTTCTTGCATTGACCCGCCATGGTTTATGATAATCGCCCCATCCTTATCTAGGATCAGATTTTCCTTCTGATAGGAGGTCATATGTTTCTTCATTTCTTGAAACTGGGCAGCATCAGGTTTGGCTAGATCACTTTTAAGCCATTGAGCAAGAGTGAAAGTGGAGGCTATCTTCTTTCCTTTCTTGGGACGAGGGGGAGTAGGTCTTTGAATACCAGCAGCAATCTGCTTCTGCCTGGCTCTCTCAAAGTATATAGCAGGATCAGGGGTACCAGAGATGGGAGTCAGAGCTCTGATGCTTGATCCTTCTGTTCCTTCTGCAGCTCTGATAGGTTTCTCATCTTCCCCCTTTTTGGCATCAGCAAGATCACCAAGCAGGAGTTGAACCTTAGAGAATTCAGTTGCTTGACTTTCTTTCAGCGCTTCAAGGGTCCCTGGCAGAGTCCCAGTAACAGATGCCAGACCCTCAATGATTTCCTTCTGTTTATCTACAGCAGTCTGAATATCTTTAGTAGTGGCTTCAAGGAGAGTCAGCTTGTGATCTCTGTCCTTGCCACTATTTATCAGCTTGATGTCAAATTCCTTCAGGGTTTTGCAGATATCCTCTACATCTGTTAGTTGCTCAGCATGCTTATCAGAGGACCATTGGAGATCATCAATGGAATCAGAGATGCCTTTGATTGCTTTGTCCTGCTCTTCAAGGGCCTTAGAGTGATGAAATAGGACAGCGTTGATTCCATCCACTTCCTTAGTGATGTTGCTCAGGTTTTCTGCAGTTTTATCCTTGTGGACTTCAAAGGCTGTGGCAATGATGCCTACATGCTTCAGTAGCATATTGATGCCTTTGGTGAGATGTTCACTGACTCTGGTGAGATGGGCATCCGTCTCATACTCAGTATCCAGAATCTTTTCCATTCCTTTGGCGATTTGATGTCCAACCTGCTCTATATTTGCCATAAAGGATGGTGCAGGAGCATTTCCTTGGTCAAGAGCGAGGACTTGCTCTGAAGGAGGAGAAGATTGTTGGGGACGAGCTGGTGTAGAGTTCTGAGAGTTAGGTTGCTGGTGAGGAGAAGTCTGATGAGATGCAGGGGCTTTCTGATGTTGTGGAGAGGGAGGGGGTGAAGGGGATCGGTTTCTGATGGGGGTGAGGAGTTTGCAGGGTGAAGGTTGTTTGGGTGAGGGCTTCTTAGGTGAAGGGGTTGGGGTTTTGTGAGGAGAGGGGGATTTCTGATGGATTGGAGATGGGGTTTTCTTGGGTGATGGAGTGGGTGAACGTGATGGAGGTTGAGGTGAAGGTGGAGGAGTGTAGTCAGGTGTTGTGGGTGTGGGGGATGGAGATTTGGGAGGAGAGGTATGGGGCTCTGGTGTGATTTGAAGAGGTAGAGAAGGAGAGTTAGGAAGTACCTCAAGAACTGTTTCTTCAGTCTGTGAGGCTCTCCATTCTCTGATCAGATTCATCATTGTCAGAGCTAGATTATTGACAGAAGATGGTTCTCCATGGAAGTGAGGGAGATAAGGATACTTTCTCAGCGATTCCTTCCTCTTCTTTTCGATGAGCCATTCTTCAAAGATGGGAATTTCATGCTCAGATAGAGGCTTGATATGCTCCTCTGGTGAGCTGGATATCAGAATAGCCTTGCCTTTGCAGTTGGCTTTCTTCTTCTCTAGAATAGCTTCTAGAAATTCAATGTCAAAGCATTGTGAGACATCATCTGTTCCCACCCACTTGAGGACTTCAACTTCCTCAGCTTCATAGTAGGGGAAGAATTGAAGAATCTTCTGAAGAGGACCCATTCTCCATTCTCTCCAAGCAAGTACACGCTCAAACTGCTTATCCAGAGCTGTATGAAACTCTGTGGCAGGTTCTCTGATAGGTGA